TGAAGCACTTTAAGCCTTTATAGAAAATATTTTTTTTTGTTCACTTCTGTTCTATACTTCGGGAGTCTGAAGCTGTTATTCTCTCTCAACAAATATGTATGCGTCTCATTTATATATCGGAGATTATCGCTAAGATAATCCGGCAGGTTGCCCTTCTTAATATTGTACACAAATTTCATAGAGTGGTAAAAAACTTGTTGCTTCATGCTTAACCAATTCAAGGTTTCAAGCATACATCTTTTTGGTGTGTCGTACGGTTTGTTGAGGATGAATCTCATCGCTCGGTTTTGCATTTTTTGCAGCTTATCTACATGGGAGTCCCCGCTAGGAAGAAAATCGTGGGGCAGTATATAAAGTGCGGTTCTACCATTGACCTGTACACCAACGTTTTATATCTTCTTCCCAAGTACTTACACGATCTCTTTATAAGGCCAATTTTTTTAGCAATCTTGTTGACTGTATACTCAACGTGCTCATCAAACTTTAGTTTGTTGTCTATGCATACATGTAATACATGTGTCAAGTTAGCACTACACTTTTCGAAATTGGAAAAGTTAACTACGGCATTAATTGTAGTGTTTTTGTTGTAAATTTGTTGTGGAAAGCAAAAATTTGTAGCTCTCGTTTTTTAAGAAAAAATGGTATGTAGTGCTAACTTGACACCATACACCTAGTCGATAGAATTGAGATATTGAAAATGTCATAACGGCATTAATTGTAGCTTTTAACTTTAAAATTTGTTGTGGAAAGAAAAAATTTTTAGCTCTCGTTTTTTTAGAAAAAATGGTATGTAGTGCTAACTTGACACCATACACCTAGTCGATAGAATTGAGATATCCAATATGTTACTATGCCATTAATTGTAGCTTTTAAGTTTAAAATTTGTTGTGGAAAGAAAAAATTTGTAGCTTTCGTTTTTCTGGAAAAAATTGAGTTGCCCCTTTTTCGAACACAATCTAGTATGTAGTGCTAACTTGACACCATGCACCATTGACGACAGAATTGCGATATTGAAAAGGTTACAACGGCATTAATTGTAGCTTTTTTGTTGTAAAAATTTTTTCTTTCCACAACAAATTTTAAAGTTAAAAGCTACAATTAATGGCATAGTAAAATATTGGATATCTCAATTCTATCGACTAGGTGTATGGTGTCAAGTTAACACTACATACCATTTTTTCTTAAAAAACGAGAGCTACAAATTTTTTCTTTCCACAACAAAAAAGCTACAATTAATGCCGTTATAACATTTTCAATATCTCAACAATTTACAACAAAAACACTACAATTAATGCCGTAGTTAACTTTTCCAATTTCGAAAAGTGTAGTGCTAACTTGACACACGTATAAGTAATACTTCTATATTGATAGTAAGCTAACATCTCAATGTGTAAGCATTCCGAAATCAAACCGAGACAGTCTAGTACTGTTTTTGTCAATGTATTGTGTACTTGAGTGCCGGTTTTGTATATGTGTTGTGTACATGTTTATTTATAAATGTGTGTGTTCCTTTTCTTCTGTACGTGTTTATTGATATATCTGTACTGTAGTGTTTTCGGACGGTACTAGGCCTTACTGCCAATATAGGAGTATTACATATATGTGTCTATGTATATTCCTAGGTACTTGAAACTTTTCACCTCTTCGATATTTTCATCTTTGATTTTTAATTCACGGCTTATGGAGTCAGCATTTGCCGCTCTGGAAAATACCATAAAGTTAGTCTTTTTCACATTCAGTTTGAGTTTATTTGAACACAGCCATTGATACAAAGAATTAAGATCTTCTTGCATGTTGACAATCGCATTTGGTAGTTCCCTATCACAAGCGAGCGTGTTTCGAACGAGTATTATCACTCCCCCTGTGTGTATACTGTGTGAGTCGCAGCGTATCATCTGATACGCCGGGTGATAATGGTGAAACAAACAAGACAATCAGGTATATAAATGGTATCCCAAGAATTGTGAATGTGCCTGGATTTCGAAGCGACGAGGAGAACCACTAAGACCAAACAAGATCTGCTAGTTTACTACCAGAACGCAAGGGGACTTAGAACTAAACTTAAAGATTTTTTCACTATAACAGCAAGTTGGCAGTGTGATGTACTATGTATTTCGGAGTCTTGGTTGCATCCGTCTATTTTGGATGGCGAAATTGTTGACAGTACGTATAAAATCTATAGGAGGGACAGGGATCAAACGACCAGCATACATGAGCGCGGTGGCGGTGTCTTCATTGCTGTCAAGCGCCGTATATCGGTTGAACAATTAACAATAAGCAACAATCACCTGGAGCAAGTATTCGTTAAAGTTAAAGGCCACGGTGGTGGTGATATCATCATAGGGTGTGTTTATATTCCACCAAAATCACGTTCTGATGTATACTCCAGTCATATAGCTACCATTTCTTATCTTAGAAATAAATATCCAAACAGCAGTCTTATGATAATCGGTGATTATAATCTTAATAGTAGTCTACCACAAGTTGAGTGTGAGTCAATATTGTATGAAAAATTTCTTCTCTCTGGATGCCTCCAGCAAAACAATACCTACAATGAGCACGGACGAATGTTGGATCTATGCTTCAGCGATTTAAACCTCTTGATTAACAAGGCGGATCCCATTATCCAGGAGGATGCATATCACCCCGCGCTGGTGGTGCAACATAAATTCCGTGCAAATCTGAAGCAAAATGACGTTCCTACTTATGTATTTAAAAAGGCAGACTATGCAGCGTTGAATAGCTTCTTCCTGGGCGCAAACTGGATAGACTTATATAAGCTGGAAAATATCGATGACAAATTGAGCTGGTTTTATGAGATTGTGTACTCGGGCATTGCTCAATTTGTCCCAATATTTGTTAAGAAGAATAATGAATACCCTTGTTGGTTTTCAAAAAAGTTGATTTACAAAATTAAGCAAAAGAAAATTGCACATCAAAGGTATAAGAAGCTAAAAACCCAAGCAAACTATGCCGTATTTAGTAGTTTAAGGTCCGAGTGTAAAGAGCTGAGTACATCATGCTACGAGAGTTACCTAGGAAAAGTAGAGAACGATTTGAAATGTGATCCTAATAGATTCTGGAGTTTTGTAAAAAATAAAAGGCGCAACGAAATTACTGCATGTAATGGCGCGGAAATAAGTAACCTCTTCGCGTCATTCTTCAGAAGCGTATACAAAGAACCTGAGGGTGTTACACACCAAGAATGTGATCATCCAGATGTCGACATGGTGGAATTTGAAGTATGCTTCAATGATGTATTTCGTCAGCTAACTCTTTTAAATATCAACAAAGGCGCTGGACCTGATCATATACCAAACATCTTTTTGAGAAACTGTGCTGTGAGCCAATCACACATATCTTCAGCAAATCGCTTCAAACAGGTAATTTTCCCTCGACGTGGAAGTTATCATACATAAGCCCTATACATAAATCGGGTGATAAAGCCCAGGTGAACAACTATAGACCTATATGCATCCAATCTTCACTCGCTAAATTACTAGAAAAAATCGTCTTGCCTCAATTAACCTCTGCTTTTAAAAATGTGATAATCTCCAAGCAGCATGGATTCTTTGGTGGGAGATCCACCTCTACCAATCTATATCTCTACATCAGCTACATACTTAATGCAATGAACAACGGACTAGACGTACACTCCTTATACACTGACTTTAGCAAGGCATTTGACATGGTTGATCATGAAATTCTGCTACGAAAAGTAAATAGTTATGGTGTACGATCAAGAGCATTAGAATGGCTTCGCTCGTATTTATCTGGCAGACGTCTGCAAGTCCGTGCCAATTGTCATCTGTCAAATGAGTTTNGACTTTAGCAAGGCATTTGACATGGTTGATCATGAAATTCTGCTACGAAAAGTAAATAGTTATGGTGTACGATCAAGAGCATTAGACTGGCTTCGCTCGTATTTATCTGGCAGACGTCTGCAAGTCCGTGCCAATTGTCATCTGTCAAATGAGTTTGATGTTATATCTGGTGTACCACAAGGATCTCATCTGGGACCAGTAGCTCGTTTCTGTAACAATTCTCTACCAAGGCGAATTGAGATATGAGTTCGCCGCCTTGTTCTCTACTGCTAATGAGTAGTAGAGACNCATTAGACTGGCTTCGCTCGTATTTATCTGGCAGACGTCTGCAAGTCCGTGCCAATTGTCATCTGTCAAATGAGTTTGATGTTATATCTGGTGTACCACAAGGATCTCATCTGGGACCAGTTCTGTTCAGCATATTTATAAACGACATAGGTGTGAATCTTAAATCCGAGTACTTGTTATATGCCGATGATATGAAACTATTCAGAGCAATAGGTAACAATCACGACATGAAGGCTCTTCAGGAGGATATCTCTGAACTAGAAGAGTGGTGTGTGATGAATAAATTGCATCGGAACATAAAAAAGTGTGCTGTCATGGGATTCTCTCGACGTCACAATCGAATGCCCGCCAATTATTATCTGTGCGGCCAACGTGTACAGTTAGTCAGTACCATAAAGGACTTGGGAGTGATGATTGACGATAAACTGTCTTTCTCAGATCACATCAACCACATAGCTTTACGTGCATGCCGTGCTCTGGGATTTGTTTGCAGATTTGGCAAGGAATTCAAGGATGTAAAAACCCTCCTCAGACTTTTCTCGACCTTCGTCCAACCAATACTTGAATATGGTTTAATTGCCTGGGCACCATATACCGAACAACAAACTAACAATGTTGAAAAGGTTCAACGAAAGTTCTGCAAGTTTTTGCTGTATCACTCGCGCGACGAAAGCAATATGAACGTCAATGATGTATATCTCAGGAACAATATTAAAACTCTATGTAGCAGAAGGCAAATGACGGATCTATCGTTCTTTTACAAAGTCGTCAATGGCCTGATTGACTCACCAGAAATACTGGAGCAGTTCAGATTTATTACCTCTAGAGCCGATCTCCGAACTAGAAGGCTACTAGATGTTGTGCAGGCAAATAGAAACTACGTCGCCTTTGGTCCGTACAACAGGATAGCGAACCTTGTCAACCAACATGCACCGAATGTAAATTTTTTTGGAGGGTCTCACTCTAGCTTAAAATATAAATTAAAATCAATTCTCTGAATTATATGTTACATTGCAATGTCATTTCATTCCGTTTTGTTTTTTCTGTTAAAGCGACCAACCACACACGTTTGTTATTACTTTTTTAGTGAATAATTTAGTTATGTACAAAGCTGATTGGCGTTTAAATAAATAAATAAATAAATAAATAAAAAGCCACTTAACATAAAAAGTCCTCTTCTTGTTCTCAATCCTTCGTTGGACAAAGACGGACTTCTACGGGTTAATGGCCGATTAGCACATTCCACATTGAGCTATAATGAAAGGCACCCAATAATTCTCCCTACCGAACCGAGGTTCTACCAGCTATATTTGGAGTTTTAACGCTGCTACTTCACGCAGAAACACGATTAATGCTCCAAATGGTAAGGAAAGAGTACTACGTACCAAAGCTAGAACCTCTAATTAAAAAATGCATTTTTCAATGCAAAGTGTGCACGCTTTACAAGCAACAAACACGCAACCAAATAATGGCCGCTCTACCCCCTGAGCGCTGCAGTTTCTCACACCCTTTTCCACAACTGGAGTATATTTTGCTGGGCCATTCCAAATTAAAGCATCGGTGCTAAGATCTACCACCCTTATCAAGGGATACGTTGCAGTTTTTGTTTGTTTTTCCACAAAGGCAGTGCATCTCGAGCTATGCTCGGATCTCACAACCGAGGCTTTTCGAGCAGCATTCGCCCGCTTTGTTTGACGAGGCTTCCCCTCAAAAATGATGAGCGACAATTGAAAAACGTTCATTGGCGCCCAGCGCGCAACAGAACGCGACTTCGTTAAATTCCTTAACGAATGTTCCGCAGACATTGTCAAAAAATATGCCCCTCAAGGTATCAACTGGCAATATATACCACCCAGCGCCCCCCATATGGGCGGCTTGTGGGAATCTGCAGTGAAAAGCTTTAAAATCCATCTAAAGAAAATCGCTGCAACCCACAAGTTTACCTTTGAAGAATTCACGACGCTTCTGGTGCGAATTGAAGCAGTCCTCAATTCGAGGCCTCTATCCGCACTTTCCCAAGACCCAGCTGATATGACAGCGCTTACTCCGGGTCACTTCCTTCGAGGTGCACCGCTGTTGGCCGTTCCCGAGCATAATGCGGAAGACCTCTCTCTACTAAACCGGTGGGAGAATGTCAAAGCACTTCACCACCAATTGAGTCGCCGCTGGAAAGATGAACTCAAATATCTTCAGAAGAGATACGAGTGGAAAACCCCACAACTCGATCCTCAGCCAGGCGACCTCGTCGTGATCAAAGTAGATTCGCTCCCCCACCGAGTGGCGATTGGGACGAATCGAAAACGTACGCCACGGCCCTGATAAACACATACGTGTCGTAGAAATACGTACGCAAAATGGAGTTATCACGCGGCCACTTGTCAAACTGTGCTTCCTTCCAAAAACACAATAAATAATTCTATACATCTTTTCCTTTTGTATATTAAGGGTCTAAACTTTCCGTTTAAATATTGTACCCAAGTACTCCTCGTTTCTCTGCCTTTGCTTCTACTTCCAGATTGAAGACATCATGGCATCGCGGAAGGCATGCCCCTTGGCTCCAACGGCAGAGACGGATAACTGCCTCCAATGCCGGCTCTGCCACCGGTACCACGCCTTGAGGACGTGCCCGGCCTTCAAGACAATGAAGCCGCCGCAACGGATAGGGGTAGCCCGGATAGGGGTATTGCATCAATGGCCTTGCGCTCACGCACACCACTGGTGAGTGCGATTCACTAGGCAGCTGCAAGGTTTGCGGCTTAGCGCACCAGCCGGCCCGCAGCGGCCACAAAGGCGCCAAGGAGCGTCAAACGGCGCGCGCCGCCGAAGAAGAAGGCGCAGAAGAACCCGCGCAACCAGGCGCCGCAATGGCAGCGCAAGAAGACCGCCCAACGGACGATCGCGCGCACTCCCCAAGGCCTAGAAACGGCCAATTACCAGGGCCGCACCACCCACCGCGTCCTTGGCAACACGATCCGCGCCCTAAAAGAGCTGCAGGAGACGCTCATCAACGCATTCCTGCAGGGCGGGGACGATGTTTTAGCCGCCGCTTAAACTTAATTCAGCGGCCGTGCGCGCATCCTTTGGCCGCAGCAGTGTGAACTCCGAAATAATGATTAACGAGCGCGCACGGCCGCTTCCCATCATCATGCCAAATCAGAGACACGTTAGTTCAGCAATTAACCTCGGTTAACGCGCACGCGCCCCTTTTGAACGTCATATTGGGGCAAACTTTAAAGCTAATTTTTAATAAGTAACCTTATTGTATATGCTCTTAACCTTGAAGTGTAAAGAATGAAGAACTAAGCTGCATAAACTGAATATAAACTAGCTATTGTATTGTCTTTCCTTTAACGGAAGCCAGAGTGTGTGTGTAAGGTGAGTGCGAAAGGCAACCATTGGAAACTATTCAGGTGTTATTGAAGTGCTAAGTACGTAGAAGCTGGGAACAACTGCACTAAGTGCAGAATACGTACATTTCTCTGATTGAAAAAATTTATATTAAGGTCGATAGGGGTCTTACTCCTGATCATAACAGTATACATTTTTTATGCGGGAAATTATAATTACTGGTGTTATTGAAGTCCAAAGTAAAGAAATGTAGGTATTCTGCACTTGTTCCGATTTGATATTTACTTTTGAGACCTAGTTTGGTTTTATAGGTTTTAAATAAGCATTTGCGTTTATCCTATAGCTGATCTTTCTTTACAAACATTAACAAATTTTATGGGAAATCCTTAGCTATTCGTACAACGATTTAGAGGTGTGGCGGAGGGGAAGGGGGTGTGTCCTTCCAAACCCCCCCTAAATGAAAGAGGATGGTGCCAACGCTCCGATCTCTAGAACGTGTGCTGAACTTAACTTAGTCTTCAATGCTTTGGACATTGATTTCTCACAATCAGGCCCTGCCTTGGTTACTCATCTGCGAACATTTTTCTCTGCGCTACACCACTAGCGATGTATTTAATCTTAGCTCTTGTGAACTTAATGTATTTAAAATTTATCTTAATTTTTAAGTTTTAGTAGCACTTAATTAGTGTTAGCTGAGTAGTCTGTAAAAATATTCTGTATTCCAAGACTGAAATAAAAAAATTAAAAAAAATAAAAATAAATAATTTATTATGGGGTATAAATAAGGGTATTTCATGATTATAACCCTTACCAAATAGAATTCTCCTTTTGGTGTGCACCAACTGGGGCTACCGCCCCAGTTATGTAGCCTTGGAAAAGGATAAGGTAACTAGAATTTCAGAGGGTTTTTGCTTATTCCTTTTGTTATTATCCTTCGTGTATATTTTTTTTTTGTTTGACAGCTCAGCTCCGCCATTTAATTTGCATATACCACACAGGCGCACGGGAGATTTTCATAGCAATTTTATTAATAAATTGCGACGAAGAAGTTTCAACTAAAGGAATGAAACACCTAACAACTAATAGAGGGGAAAATTTTAATGGAAAGTAAGACCAAAAGAAAATACGATTAAAAGGAAAATATGATGATGTTCTTTTGTTCAGATAAAAATAAATAGTAGGGGGTTTGGGGTCATATTTTTGCGCAGAATTCCTTTCTGCGTAGGAGGCCTTTGGTCGCGCTTTAGGATTATAACCCTTACCAAATAGAATTTTCCTTTTGGTGTGCACCAAATGGGGCTACCGGCCCAGTGATGTAGCCTTGGAAAAGGATGAGGTAACTAGAATTCCCTTTCTGTGTAGTAAACCTGGGGCTGCCGCCCCAGTGATGTCTATTATGGTTACTGGGTGTTTTATAAAAATGTATTTTATATAATAAAATAAATAAAATAGATAAAATTATAGAATATCTGTTGCGTAAAACAAATGCTCGTAAGCATGAGGACCCTTTCGTCAAACTTATTGAGGCAATAAAATATACATACAAGCCTTAAAAATCTGTTTCTGTATTTTATGGGGGAATATGACCCCAAATTCCTACTATTTATTTTTATCTGAACAAAAGAACCTTATCGTATTTTCCTTTTAATCGCATTTTCTTTCGGTCTTACTTTCTACCCTTGGTTTTTTTAGATGTGGCAACACAGTCCTGCTGCCATTTGTAAATATTCTGCATGTACTCTCATAATTATTAAACAACAATCAATTTTTCATAAAAAACTGTAATATACTAAAAGTATTTATTTGCTTGATCGTGCCCTCTAACTGCACATAAATTGAGTGTAAATTACGTGTAAATTTAGTGGAAAGTGCATTATATATTGTAACATTTGATTAATATTACAAACTTTAACAACAAATTCCTTAAAAATATAAGGTTGCACGCTTTGAAACTTCTTACAGGGAAATATTAGACCCCCCTCTACCTCCCATATTTTCCTGAATACTGTACTCCAGGGTTACCAATCTAAAGCAGATTTAGTAAACTAAATTTTTTTAATAAAGCGTGAGCTGCTGTCTGCCAGCGTGTGTAAAAGGTTTTTAATTCGATTCACGCGTTTGGCACAGCAACCCAAAATCGTTGTACAAATTCATAAAGAGTACCCAATTTTATACAGTTACAATGGTTATGGTGCAGTTCATGGTTCGGATTCTTAATACTTGCACTAATACGGGTCTTTTGATGCCCCTTTCGATTATTTTGCATAAATTTTCGGTGGGGAACATGAAGTGCACAATTACCGCAACAATCCTAAATGTCACCACGAAGCGGCTCGTCGAAAATTTAACGGGAAATGTTTAGTTATTCGCAGGACTGTTTTTGGGGTAGGGGACAGAGGGGGAGGGGCGTGGCCCCCTAAATCCCCCCATTCGAAAGGGGAAAGCCCTCGCTTTACGAAAAGTCGCACCCCCTCCTTCGGGGCCTCCCACAGTCCCCAGGGGGAACCGTTTGAAAATGGGCGAAAAACAGCATTTACCGAGGGAAATTGTGCAACTTGTAGTGGAATATAAACCAACTAACAGAATCTGTGGGGTTTATAAATAAAAGAAGTTATCCCAAGGTGGTTATGAGGCGAAAAAAGGGGGGCTGAACACCTTTCGCAGAGAACACCTTTCTGCGTAGACGGCCTTCGGCCGCACTTAGGAATTATAACCCTCAGGCAGTAGAATTCGCCTTTGCTGTGTTGCCAAAGAAGGGGGGCTGAACTCCTTTTGCAGAGAACACCTTTCTGCGTAGGCGGCCTTCGGCCGCACTTAGGAATTATAACCCTCAGGCAGTAGAATTCGCCTTTGCTGTGTTGCCAAAGAAGGGGGGCTGAACTCCTTTTGCAGAGAACACCTTTCTGCGTAGGCGGCCTTCGGCCGCAATTAGGGATTATAACCCTCAGGCAGTAGAATTCTCGGGTACTGTTTATGAATTTGTACAACGATTTTGGGTTGCTGTGCCCAAACGCGTGAATCGAATCAAAAAATTTTTGCACACACTTGTAGACAACAGTTCACGCTTTATTACAAAAATTTAGGCTGTATTCCAAAACATCAAAATACAAAGCATCGGTCTTTTATTTCTAAACCTCAGTAGATTGTAATGCCAAATGTGTGCAACTATGGTCAGATCCAAGTTTTCTACTAGGTTGCGCAAGTTAGACTTCTTCTGTTAGTGTGATTTAGAAATAAAAGAGACTGATGCTTTGTATTTTGACGTTTTGGAATGCACCCTTATTTTACTAAATCTGTGCACTAATTTAACATTAATGTCGGTTGGAAATATGGTATTTGTTTCAAATTTTTGTTATAAATTTGTATATACATTTTTATATACAAGATATTTTTATAAAACACCAAAATAGACATCACTGGGGCGGCAGCCCCATGTTTACCGCACAGAAAGGGAATTCTAGTTACCTCATCCTTTCCCAAGGTTACATCGCTGGGGCGGTAGCCCCAGTTATGTCACAGAGAAAGGAGAATTCTACGTAGTAAGGGTTATAATCCCTAAGCGCGGCCGAAGGCCGCCTACGCAGAAAGGTGTTCTCTGCAAAAGGTGTTCAACCCCCCTTCTTCGGACGCAAGTTTAACGTTTTTTTTCCTTTCAAAAAATCTAAAATTCCCCCCTTTTCAAACAGCTCCCCAGAGGTCTGTGGGAGGGGTTGGGGGGGGAGAGGTGACTTTTCATAAAGCGGTGTTAATCCTCTTTCGTTTAAGGGGGATTTGTGGGGCCCACACCACCTCCCCCTCCGCCCCCACCACTAAATCGTAGTACAAATAGCTAAACATTTCCCGCATTCTCCTTTCTGTGTTGCCAAAGAAGGGGGGCTGAACACCTTTCCCACGACAGTCGGGTCTACGTAACCGGAACGACCCAGATTTATATCTGGCCAAGGACTGTCACTCCAGCAACACTCCCCAAAAAGTCTTTGGGGAGTTTGTATGCTGTTACAACAACAACAACAACCTTTTGTTGAGATCAACTTTCTGCGTAGGCGACCTTCGGCCGCACTTAGGGATTATAACCCTCAGGCAGTAGAATTCTCATTTCTGTTTTGCGAAGAAAAGGAGCTGAACACCTTTTGCAGAGAATACGTTTGTATATTTTTTATGCTTTCAGGGTTATATCCTATTTTCTTTTTTCTCTCATTCTTTTGCATATTTTGGAGTTTGACAGCTGAACTACGCCATTTAATTTGCATATGCGACCAAAGTCAGACGCATGATTTAGGTTTTTATTTAATAAATTGTGATTCATTGGTTAATATTAAAGTTATAAAGAAAGTTATAACTCATCGAGTAAAGTGTAAAGTGAAGGAGAATATAAAAATATATTGCTGAAGTAGCTGCTATAAGGAGAATAGGTGACAAATTTACGTTAATTTCCGAATTTTACAAAAAAGGGCATATTTCTAACCCAATATGTAAATAAATTAGTGACCAAAAATTACAAAAAAAAGGGTGTTAAAATAATGTTTAGACCCTTGGCTACAAGTGTGCGCAAATTGTTTTTGGATCGCGTCAACTTTTTGGACGCAATACATCGAAATATATCGGCAACGTACTAAACCGAACCCAATTTAACAGTACGCATAGATTAATACTTAATAAATATTAATATCACACAATTTACAAGCGGCATTTACCTTAATATTTTTTATATTAGTTTACCATTTATACCCTGCGTGAAATCTTCAAACTTTATGCACAAAACAGATTTCTAGCACTTTACATCTTTTAACTTCAATCTTTTTATCAAAATCTGTTAATTAAATGCATATTACACGGTCTTATATCAACAATTAAAAACCTTGAATTACTATAAAAAAAAGCGTTCAGCCCAAAAGATGCTTCACGAAAAATAAATTCGATACAATTCGTCTTGATTCGATATTAGGAATGTAAGAAAGACATCAATGCAACGTGGACATCGAATTTTACTAGGAATAGGATTTGACGGGCTAACTAGAATGGCATGATTCCAAGAATGATAGAATACAAGATTGCGCCGATCAGAGAAGATTTTTGAGAATAACTTTTGTGTGACGTCACACTGGTGCAATTGCGAGAGAGAAATGCCAAAACGTGAGCAAGAATGAAAGAAGAAGAAAAAATGTTGCAAGGAAAACGTAAACAAGTTGCACAAGTGTGACGTCATGCAAACAACGATTCTGTCAAACTCGTTAAGAGAGGAATAGCGGTCCAAGATCGGCGCAACCTTTGTATTCTCTCAATCGTGGCATGATGCAACAACTACAGGTTGTAGCAATCGTACAAAAACAACATTTACCGTTGGTATGAACTCCTTGTGTCATCACCATTTTTTTTATCTATTCATATTCGTGTGTATATGTATACCCTGCATACCAGGATTTCATAGAATTCTGAAAGGTTTCATAATTTGTTTAAGAATTTTCTTTAAGAAATCGTACAGAAATTTCTTTACTAGTTCTTATCAACCGCCTCATATGTTTTTCTTTACAGATTTCTAAAAGAATCGTAACAAATTTCCGACACTCTTAAAGATTTCGGGAGCATTTGTTTGCAGGGTATATATATACGTATATGTGTATGTGTACGCGGATATGTAAGTATAGCAAAACAGACGATAATTTGACACAAGCGTGCTCATAAGAAGAAGCATAGCTTCTATCGCTATCACCTGTAATTGATGCGCCTTGCTAGAATGGTGAGGCTGAGACATATAGCAAGAGCTGTCAAAAGTTAAAATATTAGGTAGTAGTGCACTTTAGCGAAAGCAGGTCAAAATGGACGGAACAAGTTCGGGAGTAGTATCAATCGACGCGTCTTAACGCCAATAATAACAATCCGAGACCGGAAATTAACATTTTTAATTCATTAAAGAGTTATTTGCAAAAAACACTTGTACTTTCCGCACTATGTTTTGATGAATTTCACGCAAATGAATGGAATAAATGAACTCAATTTAAAACGTATTTATTAGTTTTTATACATATGTGATGTTTTAAGTGTACACTTTCGCGAAATTCTGTATTTAATAGCAATATTCTGATGGTGAAAATCCACACAACAATCTTGTGTAGTTAATATAAATAAGATAGAGGAAAACTGGTGCTGCCACTCTATTAATTAATTAGTTTTCCTCCATGATATTTATATTAACTACGCAAGATTGTTGTGCGGATTTTCACCATCGGAATATTGCTATTAAATGCAGGACACTTAAACCATCACAAATGTATAAAAACTAATGAATATGTGTTCAGTTGAGTTCATTTACTCCATTTATTTCAAAATGATGTGTCATAACAATATTGTCTGGTGTAAACCCTAACTTAGCAAATGAATCCAACAAGCTTTTTCGCTAGGTGTCGCGCAATCCCATATTATCGATTTTTATGTTAAAAAAAAACATTTTGGCGGTTTTATGTCCCAATTTCGATGGCCTACATAACGTCACCTGGGTAAAAGATTGTCGTATGTTGATTACGGCAGGTTGTGGGAAATCGCGATTGAAGTTGGGAATGCAAATTCTCAAAAACGCGGAGATAGATATTCTCTAAAGTCTCTGAAAATGTTACTAGTTCACAAAATTCTTAAATTATTTAATTTTTAATGTTTAATGTTAATTAGCTTTGTGTTTATGAAGGATTTTCTTTAGTAAAATTTTATCGTAAGCGTCATTTGTCCACAATTTGGCAGCCACTTTGTATAAAATACGACAAAATGTGATCAAAATTTCTACTAAATTAACGACAATTATTACTCAATATCTCGCAAGCTAAAGGAGATATCCAAACATGGAGAACGTCATTTTTAAGATATTGATTAGTTTAATATGGCTGTACAAATAACTAAATTTTTACTAAATTATAGAAAAATTTTTAGTCAATATCTCGGAAACTAAAGGAGGTATCTGAAAACTGATAACACCAATCGAAAGACCTTATTTCAAAATATATAACTCCATCCAACTAAAAACGTCAAAATTGCTCTTACGACAATCTTTTACCCAGGCGAAGATAAGCAGAAATTGTAGATTAATTTCAGATCATACAATTAATCAGAACTTAAATGGCCAATATTGGCTATTTAAATATGAGATATGTAACCCTGTGTTTGTACCAAACGACCAAGATTGAATGGTAGGTTGTTTAATCAATCCCACCTGTTAGCGCACTTGATTAAAAATACGAATTTTCAATAGCACTACTTCGACTTAACTTTTATTTAGCGTTTATTGTTCTTCAGTGTAGTTTTTACTATGTTAATTACAATTAACAAAACTAGCGGTTTTACAATTTCAGCAATTTACTAAGTAAGCGATTTTTAGCGCTTTAAAATATTTCGTGTGTTTAGTGCGCCTTTTTCACAACGAGAGGTGGTGTGATCTTTTAAGAACCGCTTTTTATAGTTTTGTATGTATACTACAAGTACAAGAATATAAAGGATATGAACAATAAAAGAATATGATAGCAAAAAATGTCGTTTTAAGTAAGAGTATACAAGAACTTGCAGAGAAACGTTGATAATATCGTAATGTGTAACGGTGACCAGGTTGCTTCGACTGACGGTGGTAACAATTCCCTCCCCCGTAAGCGAGTCCTATAGATCGAGATTGCTACTGGTTTTTCCAACGACGTCAAGCACCGCCACTCTGGCTGATGGTCGATTTAGAACACCGAATTGTGTTTTCACCGTGACACGTCTAACTTGTCCGTCACTAGCCACTACTGTGTCGATCACCTTTCCCTTGGGCCAACAGTTTCTCGGTAGATCGGGGTCAACAACGAGCACGATGTCTCCCGTACGAATAGGCTTCTGCGGTGTGAACCACTTGCTTCTTCTGGAAATTATTGGCATGTATTCTTTTAACCACCTTGCCCAAAACTCGTTTCCAAATTTTTGTGTATGGTGCCAACGTTGACGCAAATTTTTGTTGTCGGTGGCGAAAGGTTTGTAGCCATCTGAAGAGCCGATCAGCAAATGGTTCGGCGTTATAGCTTCGTCGTCGTCCGACTCCAAGGACACGAAAGTTAGCGGACGTGAATTAATTATAAACTCTATTTCCCATAGGGCACTCCTCAAGCTTTCGTCGTTGAACTGCATAGATGGGGACATAGCAAGTAGAACTGTTTTAATAGATCTTATTAGCCTCTCCCAGATTCCGCCCATATGTGGCGCTCCCGGTGGATTAAATCTCCACTTTATACCGTCAAAGGTAGAAGAAACTTTTTGTTGATCGACGTTCTTAAACTCGTCGCGTAAGACTTTTTCTGCGGCTTTAAAGTTCGTTCCATTATCGGAAAATACTTCTCTTGGTGTACCGCGTCGAGCCATGAAATTTCGAAAACACATTATGCAGGAACTTGTATCGAGGCTATGAGCTACCTCGATGTGAATTGCTCTAATCGTGAGGCAGGTGAACACTGCACCCCAACGCTTTTCACGCCTGCGACCGACAGAGACGTGAAGTGGCCCGAAATAGTCCACACCAACGTATGTAAAGGGTCGTTCAAACGCCGCTAGTCGAGCAGCCGGTAACGCTGCCATTAGAGGAGGACACGGTGCCGCTATGGAATTTTTGCATTGTTGGCATAATCGGCGTACCTTTTTATATAGAACGCGCAAACGTGGTATGTAGTAACGACTTCTTAGCGTATTGATTGCGGTTTCATGTGATTGGTGATGCAAATCCTCGTGAATGGAGCGCACTATTAGAAATGTTATGTGGCTTGTGCTGGGAAGCACAATAGCATCTTCGTGGTTGTTAAGAAACTCATCTCTTCCTCTGCTTCTGATAACATCATTTTCATCTAGGTAAATATTCAAACCGATAAGTTTACTTTTAGTTCCAATAGCCACGCCGTTTTTTAGTTTCTTAAGCTCTTGTTCGTATTCAGTTCGCTGGGCGTGTTGCATAAGAAAGATTTTTGCTCTTCGTATCATCGTAGAGTCTACTGTTTGCGGTTTTATAGCAGATCTTGAAGCAGCTTCAAGTTTTTTTATGTATAAAATGAAAGTTGCCACCGCACGGTATAAGCGTTTCCAGCTGGAAAAATATTCTGCGTTCAGGGTGAAAACTTGTAACTTATCTATCAAAAGTACCCGACGTTTGAGCTCAGTCTCATCTACACGACAAAATTCATCACAGTGAGGCCAATTTATCGTGTCACCCGCTAAAAAATCTGGTCCATGAAACCACATATGCGTGTCGGATCGATGACATGTTTTAGTTGGTAAATCAGCAGGATTCATTCGCGTTGGCACCCATCTCCACTGTGAAACATCCGACGACTCAAGAATTTCGCCAACTCGGTGCATAACAAACTGGTGAAAATTTTTCGGGTCGATGCGTAGCCACTGCAGGACCGTCTTAGAGTCGGTCCACCAAAAACAAGCCTGTACACTTATGCGTGGAACTTTCAAGATGCTATTGGCTAGTCTAACTCCTGCCACAGCAGCTTGCAATTCCAATCTTGGAATCGAAACTGGCTTCAAGGGTGCCACTTTCGATTTTGCCGCGACAAAAGCAATATCTACGTTACTATCGCGCTGGATGCGTAGATAACTAACAGCAGCGAATGCAGCTGAGCTGGCGTCCACGAACGTGTGAAGCTGGACGTTATCAGAACTATGGAGTATGGTCGAGTAGCAACGAGGAACTTTTACATCCATTATGAGAGGAATATTCGACTTCCACGACTCCCATTTATCGTACAAAGCGTCGCTGAGAGCCTCGTCCCAACCAATGTCGGAACGCCACACGTCCTGCAGAAGTATTTTCAGACCTATGGTATGGACCGAAAGGAATCCTAGGGGGTCAAAGATTGACATCAGGATTTGAAGAATCTCACGCTTCGTAGGAACAATTTCTTCAGTCAGCACGCTACGACGCAGTCTTGCAAATTTACAGTTGAATCTGAAAACATCATTAGTAGGTTCCCAATACATACCTAAGATTTTTGTAGTGGAACCCCATTCTTTCAAAGCTGGCTCGATAGGATTGTTGCTAGCTAGTTGCTGTAGAACCTTGTGAGAGTTAGACACCCAGTTTCTCACCTCAAATCCAGCGTTCGCATTAATGCGTTTTACCTGCTTGGCTAGTTCGAGCGCAGTCTCTTCATCGCGCTCACTGTCGATGAAGTCGTCGACATAGTGGTAACGCTGCACCGCTTCAACTGCCCGTGGAAACTCATGTCGGAATTGCTCGGCATTGTTGTCTCGTATAAAATGCGCAATGCACGGAGCGCAGTTTACGCCAAATGTTAGGGCGCGCATTACATAAACGCTGGGTTGCTGCGGCTTGTCGGCTTCGTCCCACCATAAGAATCTTTGAGCGTGCATATCGCTTTCCCTAATGTTGATTTGGTGGAACATTTCAGCCACGTCACCACACACTGCTACTCTCCCTACTCGAAAGGATAATAGGACTTCCACGAGCGAGTTCAACAAGTCAGGTCCAGGGAACATAAAATCGTTGAGGCACACGCCATTCGCTTTTGCGGCCGCGTCCCATACCAGACGTATTTTTCCTGGCTTATTCGGATTCGTGACGGTGAATATCGGTAGATACCAAGTTTTGCTTGGTTGAATTGTTGCCTCAGCAGGTGACAACTTTTTCGCATACCCCTTCGAAATTAGGTTGTCTATTTGTTGCTGAATTGTTGATTTAAGAAGCGGATCTTTGTTGAATTTCCTTTCAAGACACATTAGCCGTTTGTATGCATTTCCATAGCTTTCTGGCAGCACGACGTCTTCGTTTCGCCAGAGTAATCCAACTTCATAACGATTGCTTACCTTCTTACAAGACGCATTTAGAATAGCTAGCGCCTTGTTGTCGTCGGCAGACAGAAGCTGCTTTGGCTTGGGTTCTTCTAAATTGAAATAATTTTTCACAGCTTCGTGCAGTCTTCTGAGACTTTTCTCGCAGTCGCAAGTGTGAACGTTCACCATAAACTCACGTGACTGATTAGCGTGACATCCTTGAAGCGTCCAGCCAAGTCTGGTTTTTGATGCAATAGGTTGGAACCACGACCCTTCTCGAATTTTAAGTGGCACAGCAAGTTTCCAATTGTCTGTACCAATCAAAATAGATGGCCTGGCATTTTCGTACGATTCAATTGGTAGCCCAGTCAAATATGGATATTTTTTCATTATTTCACCAGCATCGATCGTTTGTGTTGGAAGACTTAAACTCTCTACTGTGTGTGCATCAGTCAATTTGTACTTTCGACCGTTCGTAACACCTGAAATTTCTACAGTGGTTTTGAATGAATTATATTCCGTGCGGGTTGTATCACCGGTCCAACGTAAGCATAAAGGCTCCTGTACACCTTTGAGCTCCATCTGTTCGAACACACTTTTTTCCATTAACGTAACTGCAGAACCCTCGTCCAGAAACGCAAATGTTTCTATAACTTTATTATGTGAGTATAATTTGACAGGGATTATTCTGAAATATGGGCTATTTTTTGTAGCGCTGCTGCTGTGCGCGATCATCTGCCTGTTGGCATGATCACTCGGAATATTGCTGCTGCGAACAATCTGCCGAGAATTGATGTTGTTGTCTGCGCTGCTGTCGACTGTTTGCGATGCGCTTCTGTGTAATAATTGATGGTGCTTGTACTTACAACCAGTGATACCACATTCTTTGTTTACGTAACATTTACGGCGATGCGAGTCCAGACATTGACGGCAAAGACTATGTTCCTTGACTATTTCCCACTTACGTTTAAGAGGCAAGACTTTAAAGGCTTCGCAACGTGGCAGCTTATGTCCATATGTTTTACATACACAGCATTTTCTGGGTAGTGAGTTGGTTTCGCTTCTATGGTCGGAGACATCTTCAGCGCGAGTGTGTGTATTTACGTTTACACCGGATTTGTGTGTCATAGGTGCTACAACAGTGCTTGCTGCCTCGGCGATATTATACAGCCAGTCACTGAAAATCTTCACTATAGGTACTCGATCGTCTTTTGGATGCATAGCCCAACTCAGCTTATAACTGTTTGGCAGCTTATCCACTAACTCTTTTACTAATAATGGATTCACGAGATGTGCAGTCAGGTTACAACCTTCCATTGTTGCACATATATTTTGTACGCATAAGGAGAACTCAATTAAAGATTCTAACTTATCTTTAAGTGGCGCCATATTTTTGGCCTTATTAATTGCGCGTTCCAAAATATGTTCAGGTCGGCCACAACACATACGTAGGGTCTGGATAATCTCCGGCACCATAGCAGGTAGAAGCAACTTATTTTTTACTAAATCTCGTGCTCTGCCTTTAAGACATGCCTGTAGTCGCATAAGATTTTCTGCATTCGAATATCCTGCAACGGACGTACTATTCTCAAATTGGCTTATAAAGAGGGGCCATTCCTCTGGGTCGCCGCTGAAAATAGGCAACTGCTTCGGAATAGAGTGTCTAGCTGCAAGCTGTGCTGGTGTGGGGGTCACGTTAAAGATTGGTATACGATCACCCGAATTCGTCAACTCACCAAATTGTGCTAATATTTTATACTTGTCGTCTAAATACTGTTTTTGAATGCGCATTTCCTCCTCTAGGCGTTCTAGCTGCAGTGCTCGCATTCGCTCAGATGTATCCGAATTTTGACTACCCTTTGCAAATATTGACGAGTTTGCAACTTTTGCGTTAGTTTGCAGCGAAGGAAAAGTGGTTGAAGATGTCGGCAATTTTTGTTGAATAAAAGAGTTTGGCAGTAAATGGTTCTTACTGTTTTGCGTATACATTGTTGCGGGATAACCTGATGCGCTCGACAAAGTATATAACTCAGTCGTGCTGCTTGACGACTGAAAACGTATTTGATCATGTAGTGTCACTTCCAATGCTGCAGTAGAATATGGTGGTACACTTGCCGATGTGGTCGACATCCTCGGAGCTGTGTATATGGATGGAACCATAACCGTTGACTGAACTGGTATTGAGCTTAGAGCGCCCAAGATTGCCTGTTGACTTTGATGTGCCGCCTCGGGTGACGATGATGCTCTTGGCTGACCCGTAGCAAGTGAACCCCCGTTATTCGACCCATTGGGTTCCATAAAAGCTGCTGCCATTTGGACCGATGTGTGTTCGCATGATTCGCAGTTCCAACTAATATCGGCCACTTGGCTGTCAACACCGACACAGCTATAGTGAAACCATTGGTCGCAGGAGTCACATTGCACCATTTGCTCATTGTCTCTAGCTCTACAGTTTCGGCAATGGTAATCCGTACTTGTATCTTTTATGCTATGCATATTATAGTAGCGGAAGTTACTCTTAAGAAATATTTTAAAGAATTGTTAGCGCACTTGATTAAAAATACGAATTTTCAATAGCACTACTTCGACTTAACTTTTATTTAGCGTTTATTGTTCTTCAGTGTAGTTTTTACTATGTTAATTACAATTAACAAAACTAGCGGTTTTACAATTTCAGCAATTTACTAAGTAAGCGATTTTTAGCGCTTTAAAATATTTCGTGTGTTTAGTGCGCCTTTTTCACAACGAGAGGTGGTGTGATCTTTTAAGAACCGCTTTTTATAGTTTTGTATGTATACTACAAGTACAAGAATATAAAGGATATGAACAATAAAAGAATATGATAGCAAAAAATGTCGTTTTAAGTAAGAGTATACAAGAACTTGCAGAGAAACGTTGATAATATCGTAATGTGTAACGGTGACCAGGTTGCTTCGACTGACGGTGGTAACACCACCAATAAACATACAGCTGTTCAGCACAAAATGTAAACAAACAAGCTAATGCAACAACAATTTCGAGGAACAAGCAGCAGGGCTGCAAATTGTTTGGCATATTTAAAAAAAGTTGATCTGAAAGCCAACGAAAGCTAAATGGCATATAAACATCAATCCACAATTCAACTTAAGTGCCGTTTAAATATTCATTTGAAATTGGCCCTAAGGCGGTTATGAATAGCTTTAGTAGTAACTTAAAATAGATCCGACTTAGTTGTAAACTAAATATCACTATGAAAATGCGCCATTGTGCACAGACTCGAGACCTGCTCTCAAATTTGTAAATACATGACTTCCGAGCGCTAATATACTAAGCTGATGCCAGATAAAACTTTATTGTGACTTTGCGTGATATTTACGCAAAGGTATGCCGCAATAAACCTTAAAAAACGATTTTGTACTGCTTTTTTACTCGTGAAAATAGCTGTGGATTTTATATATTTAGCTTTAAAAACATCATCAGTCTAATTAAATTTTATATTTCTGAATGAAAACTTGAATTTGGATGACATAAAATAAATATTAAACCAGCTTATCGTCAACGCGCGCAAAAAGATGGGAGTTGGCCATCTTTTTGCTTCGTGCTGCGACTAATGGGCTGTTTTTGCTTACGCGTAAAAGCACACTTAGCTCTAAATGCACATGTATCCATACGAAATTCGTCAGCTAAATTGAGCTCCATTTCTGCATCAAGAACCTCATGCTAAAAGCAACCTTTTGCTCTCCGAAAAATACCACGATTCGAACATGGTTTAATTAGAAAAAGTGGCAGCGTTGATTTTTCACGTACACGTTGCTAGCTGCTATTATATCTTTTTTGGGCTGGTTTTGCTACGCGTAAAAGCACATTTAGCGCATTTAGCCCTAAATGCTACTCTAAGGCTTTCTGCACATTGGTCGTCCAATCATAGTTATCGTCACAATCATGATGCAACGATTACATGACGACTACACTTTCGCACACTCGGTCGTGATATTTCAATTCATTTGGCGTCTAAAAATTCACTTGGAGCAGGTATTTTCATTTTCCTGGTTGATATTTTCGCGAAATATTTACAAATACCTGCAATTTTTAAAATATGGACTGTGCTGCAATAATTCTAGTCATAATTTTTCAGTAATATCTCTTCTTCTCTTTTCCTGAAATGTGTTTTGTGCATGCACACTGATACTTTTTACAACTCCGTCATATTTTATAGTTAAAACGCTCACATTTATTGAATTTTAATGCAGTTATCCACCTTTTAATAATTTCCACAGATTTTATGCAAAAAATACTAATTTTTATGCAATTTTAATGCAAATATTAACTTTTTCACTAATTTTTCCCCATAAAATGTAAACAAACAATGCGTGCACAAGGATTAGCAACGATTAGTTTCTCCATCTTCTACGATTTGCCGATAACTAGCTGATAACGACAAGTGTGCAGATCTCCTTTGAAATACATGTGCTCGGCTCAACATTTCAGGGCGAGACTTTAACGCAACTATGATTGGACGACGAGTGTGCAGATAGCCTAAGGCAGTCTGCACACGGGTCGTATAGCTTTAGACGCGTATTATACAGCGTTTTTGCTGCATTTAAAATGCAACATTTAGCACTTTCGAACATATGTTTTCGAAGAGCGTTCATGCTACCGCATTTAGCAAATGTACATTTACGCGAGTTCGAAATAGTATGCTTTTGACAAACAGCCGTGTTCCAGTCGCTTATTCAGATCCGTATCTATTACGATAAATTCTCACGGAAAAGATAATGTGCAAAACCCCTACTGAAAAAGAAAAAAAATTAATTCTAAACCGAAAATTCAATATAAACACTTGAATTGTTTTAACCATAACCGAACATTTGTTGGTGTATAAGTTAGCACCAACTAAGTTGTAACTCAAGCTGACACAAAGACTATTGCGCCAAGTCAGCAATAAGGGTAATCAACAATTATTGGGAAACAGCCCAGACGCGCACTCAGCAAAATCGGCAACAACATCCGGCATGCGCCGATTCAATTAATGCAGCGACCTAAATATTTGGCAACAACATCCGGCATGCGCCGACCCAACACCAATTGCTGACACAGGTAGAATTAGGGTATAATTAAGCGAGAATAAGTAAAATTAAGTTTAGTATTAATGATGTATTGATTGAATAAAGGTCTTACGACCAACAAAAAAATCTTTTTTTCCCGACTTGTGCAAGCAAGCCGGTAACTTATATATTCATTTGTCGGTGCAGTCAATTATAATTTCCACACTTAATTAGGAAACAAAACAAACAGAGCTGATCACAAACTAATCCGGATTTGTATCAGCATCATATCGATGTTGAATTTGCGTAACTTTTCTTTATCCAAATAATGTAAAATAATAAATGAAATCTCGAGCGGCGATCACTGAAACCCAGCTAGCGACTGTATACTCGAAAAGGCAATGCTGCCACGTTTTTTCATTAAACCATGTTCGAATCGTGGAAATTTTGGAAGATCACAGGGTTGCTTATAGCATTTAGATTCTTAATGCAAAAATGGAGTTGCATTTAGTTGCATTTAGGTGACGAATTTTGTATGGATAAATGTACATTTAGAGTAGCATTTAGGGCTAAATGCGCTAAATGTGCTTTTACGCGTAAGCAAAAACAGTCCATTAGATGCTACATACGAAAGTTGTACGCTTTGATGCCGCACACGTGTGTGATGTACAGTCATTTCAGTTTTTCAACAAAAACATCACACAATATTTTTGTAAGAAAAAACCAAAAAACAAACATTTGTAAAAACCAAGAAAACAAATCCCTAAGATATTGCTTTCCATAATTAACTATGACACACATAAATATCATGACACATATGGTAAACAAACATTTCATACATATACCCAAAGACATACAGCGAAGTGAAACATGAGTATTTTCACTTGCTCCACATACAGTTCATTGTTAAGGTACTTGACCGTACTTAAAAGGTAAACAATAGCAAGTCAAATTTCTTTCTTTCTGTTTTCGATATGTCAAATATCATAAATGGGAGAAATGCAATGTGTTTAAAATTGATGACGATGCTAAATACTGATTGGTCAATAGATAAGTAAATGCATTTGTAACATGAACAAAAAGCAGAACACCATGTTACATAGGGCATTTTGGACATATGAATGAAATGCAAGATGTGTCAGATAATTTCTAGATAATTTGTAAATTAGTATATAAGTTGGAAAATTTATAATAAAAACTCAGATTCAGTTTTATACTTGAACTTGCTTGTCTTGTTATTTTACTGAACTCAAAAAAGGGCATTAATTGCTCGTCTGCCGAGTTTTGAGCCTCGCTTTACAAACCAAGGCTCCTATTGCATTAGTCGCGCTTTCATGCTAATGCAATAGCTATCCAAACGCTAAAAACACCACCTTACATATTATATGGCGATCCTGCCCTACCTAACTGGAATCCTAGTAGAATCCTTCTTACATGGACGAAGAATTCCATAAACTTTTTAAAGACTTGGTTGATAGACTTGCAGTGGAGGAGTACAATCCCACTGAGGGCGTGGAAATCCAAGCACCACCTTACATCCCTATCCCGAAACATTGTGGACCACAGCCTATAACAATCGAGCAATACCGAGAGAGAAACCAGTCGAGAAAGCAACGTCCGGAACAGCCAGCAGCACCAACTAAAAAAAAGGCGAAGGGCGGCAAAAAGAAGCGGCTAAACAGAGAAAAAGCGGAGTTAAGGCGTTTAATAGACCTCAGCTGTGGAACACAAAAGAAATTGTTTTATAATCAATTGAGAGAATTAGAGAAAAAACAAGATATTAATAAATAAATAAATTATGGGTTGGTGGAATAAAGTGAGTAACGCAATTCTCATTGCAATTGCTGGTTACGAAGTAGGTAATAACAACCAAAAACCAAAAGATAACAATGAGAAAGAACATTGGATTTTGGTATCAGCTATAATTTTCGTGATAATTTTGATTATATGTATTTCAAAATTAAATAGTTATTATAAAAGTTATGTTAATAAGAAAGTAAACAACAATATTGTTTAGATAATGTAACGTAAAATTTAATATTAAATCAAATTATATTAAAAAAAAAAAAAAAATATTAAAATGTTTTGTAAATGGACCAATTCATAGATCGTTTGACTAGAATTATCACTAATTTGAGAAAATCAGGTAGCAGAGGATATACTAACAACACATTAATTTTAAAATTAGAAGAGGTAGAGCTAGTTAAAAAACAATTTATAGAATTTAGCACTGGTAAGGAAATAAAAAAAGAATTCATAGAGAAATTTTACAAATATTATGAAACAGCAAAGACATTATTAAAACAAAAATTAGAAAAATTAGACACAGATTCAACTCACAGCATGTCAGATTTAGAAAAGGAGACAGAAAATTCAAACATACCTCCTGAAAATTCAAACTTAGCTCCTGAAAATTCGAATTCAAGTTCAAACTCTTCATTCAAAATGGCATCATTCAATATAGAACTATCA